AGCCGCGGCCCCAGTCACCCCGGGCCGAAGCGCTCGCAGCGTACCCCTCCCGGTGGTGCCCACTCCAGGCTGCAGCCGCTGTGCTCGCATCGTCTCCATCCCCGCCGCCAGTGGAGTAGCGGCCCGGAGCCTGCCAGCCTGGCGAGCTAACGGTCCCAGCCACCCCCGCCAGCGAGCGCCCAGGGACTGAGGCGGTGCCGGAGCGCAGCCGTCAGTCAAGCGGGGGCGGGGACGAGCCAGGTCCTATGCCAATCACCAGAGACTGGGCGGGAGCTGGAGGGCTCCAGCTCCGCCATAGGCAAAATACCGAGGAGGGCGGAGGTTCTGGACAACCAATTGCAAAGAGAAAAAGCGATATTCTTTATGAGGGAGAAGCTTAGCTTGGGCGCTTCTTCGGGAGTCCTGTAGGGAGTACTGGAAAGCAAGCCAGACTCCTGGGACGAAGCTTGTGTGTGTGTGGAGGGGGGAGCGGGAGGAACGGCGGGGGGAAGGCCTGGATGCCAGGCTGAGGAGAATTGTGGACAGTTGTAAGAGGATTCTTAGGGATCATTTGTCCGACGACTTCATTTTATAGTTGTAGATGAGGAAACAGATAAGTTATGTGACTTGTCCAAGATCACATGCAATGGGCGATGCAGCTAAAACAAGGAAAGAATACATTTCATGAGCATATACTTACTATATGTCAGACACTGCGCAATGTACTTTAGAGCATTGTCTTATTTAATAATCACAATGACTAACTAGATTTTATTATTTTACAGATAAGGAAATGGACACTCAGAGAGGCTGGATAAATTGCCCAAAATTCAAGCTAGGAGATGGCAAAGAGGGGTTCAGACATAGGCCTTCTGATTCCCAATATTTTGATCTTTTCGTTATACCATGCATCGTTAGGTAATTTTCTGATTTTACCTATTCTAAGTTGGGGAAAACCGTGAGAAAGAGTGGAATGGGCTGCTCCCTTACCTCCCGTTAGAGTGAGAAAGAATTAGAATATATGCAGAAACCAGAAAACTGAGAAGTCTAGGGGGCAGATTAAGACAGTTATCCTGTTCATAACCTGTCAGGCTGGGTTCCTCGGATTACTCTTACACACACCTATGCACACAGATACACAATACACATCCTTTGTCAGTTGACCATCATGCCATTCTTACCTAGGTGAGGTTATACTACTTTTCTCTCTCTCTCTCTCTCTTTCCCCACTGTGCCGTGGCTCAGGACGGGGAAATAAAAGTCAGAAGTAGAAAAAAATGGGGGCAGCTGGCTGGCTCAGTCAGAAAAGCATGTTACTCATGATCTCGGGGTTGTGAGTTCGAGCCCCACTTTGTGTGTAGAGACTACATAAATAAAAACTTTTTTAAAAAGAAGTAGAAAAAAATGGATGAAATGCACCTGGTGAGATGAAAATTAGAACCCCAAGGAATAACTGGGAATGGTCACAAAATAAGAAGTTTGAAAGAGGGGCAGTCAATCTACTGAGATATTTGTTGATAGTGAACGGAGGTAATTTTTGTAGGAGGTACTTTTTTAGAAATCTTAAGTTAAAGAATTTGAGGATGGACATAGGGGAGCCTGAGTGAATGAAAGCCTGTCAAATGCCTTAAAACCTCAGGACACAGGACACTTGTCTTTTCTTCTGCAACCACAGCTGGTCAGTTGGTCTCCTGCAAAGAAGGTGGCTGGAACCTCTAAGTATCCCCTAGATCATTAGAGCTATAGTAAGCATCATCCTCCCTCCCCATTCCTCATTCCCCATACCCCACACCCTCAGGCAGAAGTGACAAAACAGAGACTTCTGAACACATTTATTTGATATGTCAAGTGGAGAGAGGAGTGATTTAGGGTTACTCCCCACTTCTACCTGTGGGGGTGTTCATAAGCTCAGACAGACAGAAGAGCAGCATAGAGCCCATGACCCACTCCCTGGGAAAATGAGACAACCTCCTGTATTGGTTAGGGGAACAAGGTGGGAATAAAAAGCAGGAAGTTGAGAAGTAAAGCTGAGAGCAGGAAGGGCAGCAGCAGAACTGAAGCTGAGGGTTGCTGCAGGAAAACCCCAAGGAGGGTGAAGAAGATATCCTGAAAAGTGGTTAGGGCTGGAAGCAGGGTGTGAACAAGGAGCCAGGCCTGGAGAGAGAAGCAAGACCTACACAGGTTGGGATATCCAGGAAGAGGGCAGAGTGTGCAAAGTCGTGAACGGGCTGTGTTGCAGGGCATACATGGAAAGCAGGGGATTGCTTCTGCAAAAGGGCAAAAAGATTGGAGACTATCCATAAGTAGGGGTTCCCTACGGCTTCTGAACAAATGCAAGTGACTTTGGGACCCACTTGGGACCCTAGCACAAGTGGCCCTGTGTGTGCCATTCCTATGGATGGGTACACAAGTATCCCCATATGCATGTGAAGTGACCAGGACATGAATGTATGTGTCTATATGCCCAGTCGAGAGAGTACTTACCCTTCCCTGTGAATAAGAAGAGTGCTGTGCTTGTGGACACTTTTTTACCCATGTGTGCGTGCACCGTGCCCAGGAGCACAGGCAAAAGACCCCGATGTCCGTGGTGTGTGTGTGAGCTGGTTCTCCCACCTGTCCCATCAAGGTCCTGATCCCCACCCTCCTTGGTTCCTCTCACTCCTCTCAGCGCCCTGGCTCCCCTGGCCCGCCTAGACTCTGGAAGCCCCCTAGCAGGCGGATCTGCTCAGTCTGCATGGAGTGGCGCCTCACCAACTTGCGCTTGGTCCTGGGAGAGCCTGGCGCCCCCGCCTGGGGAGGGGCGGGCAGCGAAGGCGCCCGACCTCCGGGTTGGGGGCGAATGTCGGGGATGGGAGGGTGGGGGCTGACGTTGAGTGGAGGCAGGAAACCCGGCCGCGTTTGCGCGATGTGGTCCAGGAGCAACGTCCCCGAGCCCCTCCGCTCCAGCAGCCCGGGACTCCGCCTCCGTCCGCTCAGCGGAGATACAGCCCCTGGCAGACTCTCCTGGGACTGGCGCGGGGAGGGAGCCGAGCCGGCTGGAGGGAGGGTCAGCGGGGAGGCGCTGTACCGCCGGCGCTCCAGGGACAAGCGGCTGCACTCCGGCGAGTCGGGGCAAATATTTCCGGGGGTATCGAGCTCCACCGACTCCATGCGGCTCAGTTTCTGCCTCAGCCCTGAAGGGGGACCAGACTCCTGAGCTTCTGGCGCAGTGTTTCGGCGAGAGAGAGGACCCCCACCCGTCACTTTCTCCGCCCACGGGGGCGGATCCTCCGGACCTTCCGTGCTGTGACGTCTGGAAAGACGGGGTCGACCGGTCAGAGTCAGGCCGTTGAATTCCGCGGTCAGGCGCTCGATCCCCGGCCTCCCTTCCGCGGGTGGGACCGGTTGAGGAGGAGCCACTAGGCCCCAGGGCTCGGAGTTGAGCCTTTTGAGTGGTTTTGGAGGGTGACGAGGTGGTTTGGGGAGCGGTTCAGAAGGGGAGGGGTCATCAGGGGGCTTAGGAAGAGGGAATTCGAATACGTCCCGCTTCTCCTCTTCTTCCTGAGCGCGAGGGGATAGCAATCCCCGTTCTCCTCCTCCTCCTGCAGCCTGCAGTTGGATTTCGGAAGGCGACGTGCAGACCCCGGGGCTGGGAGGAGCGGGAGCAGGGTCCTCCACCCCCGGGGACGGTGGGGAATTGAGATACTGCCGAGTCTTCTTGGTTCCCGAGGGCGAGGTGTCGGTGGTGATGATGATGACCTCCGTGCCCTTGGCCTTACAGGCGTCTAGCAGCGTGGCAAGGGTCTCGCGGTCCCCACGGTCCAGGGCGTGGACAAGCGCCGAGGCGCCCGCGTGATCTCGCACTGAGGGGTCTGCACCGTGGGCAAGTAGCAGCGAGGCCACGGCGGCGCCCCCACCCCCGGCGCAGGCGTGCATCAGCGCGGTGCGCCCCAGGCGGTCTGCGATGTTGGGGTCCGCGCCTTGCTCCAGGAGGTAGCGTACCATGCGCGCCTTGTTCTGGGGGTCGTCGTAACGGGCCCGACAAGCCGCCATTAGCGCAGTCTCCCCCTGGGCATCACCCTCATTCACGTAGGCGCCTCCCTCCAGAAGCAAACGGGCCAAGCGTAGCTTACCCTGACCCACGGCCCGAAGAAGAGCGTGGCCCTCGGTGTGCAGCATAGCTGCGGCAGGGCCGAGAGCACCAGTGGAGCCGGGACTGGGGCCCGCCGAGGATGTCTAGGGACGTGGGGGTGGTGGCTGGCGGAGGCCTGAGGGCTCAGTGGCGAAGCCAATCCCTGCGAGAAAGAGAGAGATCTTATTGACGGATTCAGGCAGGGAAACTGAGGCACCGGTGGAAGGAGACGGCGTGGGGAGATCTCCACGGCACGGCACGGCACGGCACACAGTCCTTCCTCTAACTCATGCCTTTGAGCCGCCCCCTCCCCCCAGCGCATGCCTGAGGAGGTGGGAAGGGTGCACCCGCATTGAAGGACGAGCGCGCGTGCAAATGCGTACGTGCACGCGCAGGGATACCGCACCCCCACCCTCACCCCACGGCTTCTCAGACCTTTCCAGCATCCCCCTTTTCTTATCCGCACTTGGAATACCCCTTTCTAGGATGCTGAACGCCACCCACCCACACACATGCACCCATACATTCACACACATAATTCCCATTCCTAACCTCTTTTAGGTTGCCACAGCCCCAAATACTGAGTGGGGGGAGGGAAGCAGCTTGCATTTGGGACCTAAAACGGGTGGGGGGAGAATTGGGGGTTTCTTTTGCCCCTGCTATGTTCCCCATCACTCCTTGCTCTTTCCCTCCCAGGCTGTGCGCCCAAATAGATACCTGAATGTCCGCAGGATCTCCGCCGGGCCAGGACTGAGGCCAGGGCCATGGGGCAGCCTAGGTGGCGGAGCTGGGCTCCCGGGGGCCCACATGGCGTGGGGAGGGGCACCCGGATTCCCTTGGTGTCAGTATCTGCGCCCGGGCACCGGATCCTGGTCCCTCCTCCCGGTGCGCCCCGGGCAAGGCGCCGGCTCGGGAGGAGAGAAGCTTGGGGGGGGGGGGCGGAGCTCTGCCTTGCTATTTATAGCCTAGTCTCTGCGGGTGGGGGCGTCGGGCACCAAACCGTTCCCCCACCCATGCACACATAAAGCCTCAAAACCTAGAGGTTCCAATCCTGACTTCTCTTGCTTAGCCGACCTCCCCTCAGCCCCAACAAACCTAAATGTTTCTTAGGAGACTCCTCTGCGACCCAGACTGGGGCCATCCCAATTCTTCGTTGAGCAGAGCCCCATTCTCCGCGCTAGATGTGTTTATGCGCGTCTGTGCGCCAGATCTGACCTGCCACACACAGCACATGGCACACTGTGCAGAGGGGTGGAGAGAGGCGATTGGGATCCACAGCCGGAGTCCATACTGCGCAGAGAGAGCAAGAGATCTGGCTGCCTCCTTGTAGTTTACATGTCAGGGAGAGCTGGAGCCAGACGCAGCGGTACATCCTCACTCCATCTCCGCCCAAACGGAACACACAGCACAGATAAACTTGAACCTCAGATCCCTTGTACAAACCTTAGATAAGTATGAGGAGAGTGGATATACTGGGTCATTTTTAGCTACACCAGGTGGCATTCCCAGATGCCTTCCTCCCCATATTCTTGGAGGGGGAGAGGGAGAGAGAAAAGAGGCAGAGAGAAGAGCGAACCTTGTAACACATCCCTTTCTCATTGCATCTCTTTACACTCAGTCTTGCTTAGACTCATTATTTTTCCACGTTGGTTGAAGGTCTCTGTCCAATCGCTCCCTAAGTATTCTCTCTGCCTATCTGTCGCAATCATAATGGGTCTCTCTGCTGCCTGTCTCTGCCTCTCCTTGCCACCTGCCCTGTCTCCATGGTTACCATAGCTTCCATCTGCATATTTTAGGAAGGAGTTTGTGTCCAGCTGGAAGGCATGAGGGGAAGTGGAAGATGAGGGAAAAAAAAATCGCAAGGATTTGGAAAACTCACCTGAGATAATTCAGACTGGAAGCCACCAGACACAAGATACCAAAAATAATGTTTCTGGAGAAGGAGGGGGAGAAATATTGCAGGGAAGCTACCCATTTTTACTAGGTACCATTTGTTGGATACTAACTATATGCTAAGTACTTCACATACATTATATCAAATCCTCAGAACAATGCTGTAAGGTAGGAATCTCCTTGTTATAGATGAAGAAACAGACTTAATAAAGTTAAGCAAGTTCTCCAAAGCCTCACAGCTCTGTTTCTGTCCTATTCCAAAGACTGCGGGTCTTGCCACTACACCTGCAGCCTTCCAAGTCCAGAGGCTTCACTCCCAGGGCCATTTTCTCTGACACGTGGGATAGTCTTCTTGACTAACTCCTAGCTTTTATCACTACTCTGGATTATTCTTTCCCTCTATTTCTGGGGTTGTTTTTGTGGGGTGTGTGTGTATGAAAGTAGGATTCCTCTCCACCACTGCCCTCCACTCACCCTCGCCACCGTGCTCTCCTTCACCAAGGGCTAGAAGGAGCTGGAAGGCAATAGAAAATGCGGGAAACACTGGGCTTCTGTCCTGCCTCCCCAACTCTGGTTCTCTGATTCCTAATCCTTCCTTCCCCAAACTTTCCTCCCATCTCACAGACATGGCAGCAACCCTTGGGGGGCGGGGGGGGGGTAAGAAAATAGAAAAGAAGTATTCATTGGTGGTGCTGGAGGGAAGCAGTGTAGGACTAGAGGGAAGGTTGGAGTAATGGAGGGGCCAGGCTGGGAAGCCCAAGTCCCAAAAAGACTCATCCCTAACGAACAACACTTTCATTTATCTGTGGGAGCTTCCTCAACAGAGTCCCTCGGTGAGATCTAAGTGTCAGGTTCCCTCTGTGGACTCTCGCTAGCCAGGAGCTCTCCCATCTGAGATGAGGTCGGAAATAACCGACCCCTGCTTGATTTTGCAACCCCATCTCCCTTCGCGCCGCGCGGGGCTTCCCGAGCCTGGGTTCCGGCTGACTCTCCCCCTCCCTACTTCTCCTCCGCTTCAAGTGGGCGGATCTCCCTCCTCCTCTTCTCCTAGATTGGCCGGGAGAACTCACCAATGGGGAGCTCTGAGAGGCGGACCTACAGCGCCAGCAACTAGAGGAAGACCAGCAAATTTCAAGTTGGCGGCGACGTGGGCTCAGCGTGGGGGAGGGGCAGCAGGTAAGGCTCCGTCCTGGTGGCTCTGACCTGGTTCTGTCCCTCACCTCCCGATCTAGCTCACCAGGGCCAAGCTGCGAGATAGATAGACAACGCTTTCCGGCAGCCTGTTGGATCTAGCCCCCTCTGGTTTCCTACTCTTCTTTCCCTTTCTCTTCAGGGCTCCCATTGCTGTACTGATTATATACCAGAGAACTGCAGTTTTCATTCGTGCATAGGGGAGAGATGTTAAAGCACAAAGTGAGGAAGGCTCACTCTTGTATCTCTGACTCTTTGCTATGGCATCAGCTTCCCCCGAATCTATTCGTATTATTCCCTTGTCTAAGAGTCTGACAAACTCCTGTTATCTATCAGGACTTAGCTGAAATATTACCTCCTACCTGTAGCTTTCCTGGACTATCTTTTTCTTCTTTTTCTTTCTTTCTTTCTTTTTTGTTTTTTGTTTTTTTTTCAGAATTAACCGTTCCCCAGTCTGACGATAGTATTTTATGCATACCTCTCCATTAGAGCCCTTAGCGCGCTCTCTGATGTTTCTGTTCTTCTGAGAATATAAGGTTTTGTAGGCAGGTTCTTGTACCTAATATGAAGTGCCCAATAAAGGTTAATTGAATGGAATTGATTGGGAAGGCAGAATTTAAACTCCTAACGTAATTGGGGAACAATTAATAAAAGACAAAATACAATACAATACAATATCTAATTAAGATCTCCTAAATTAGTGGTTTGTAATATAATTGCTCCCACAGTCAAGAGAGGGGAGAAAACTAGGAGGACTGGGATGGTAAGGGGAGACTTGATGAATCATAAGGTCTCGCAGTTTGGAAGAGCCCTCAGAAATCATGTATTCATTCATTCATTCATTCAACAGATATTTATTGAGCACCTACTATATGCCAGACATACGCTAGACAATGGGGATCATAGTGAATCCTCTACTTTAGACATGCATCCTTCTTATGATAAACTGTATTTAGTAAATTGTTATCCAGCTTCTATTTTAAAGAGGACTCCCTATCTCACTTTGCAGGTTATTCCATTTTTGGATATTTGTTCTTCAATTAATATCCAACAAATATTCTAAACAAATATATAGCTCAACGAAATGCATTCCTCACTTTCATTGTAAAAGAGGGGGAGCTGTCCTGGTTAGGAACATGGATTTGAATTCCAGTAGCATTCTTAAAAATAAAACCATCCCGGGGCGCCTGGGTGGCTCAGTTGTTTAAGCGACTGCCTTCGGCTCAGGTCATGATCCTGGAGTCCTGGGATCGAGTCCTGCATCGGGCTCCCTGCTCAGCGGGGAGTCTGCTTCTCCCTCTGACTCTCCCCCTCTCATGCTCTCTATCACTCTCTCTC